TTTGTCAGTGAGGTTGACGGTTGGACAAGATGATCTTGAAGGTCCCTTCCAACCTAGAAGATTCTGTGATTCTGTGATAATGGCACCTCACCTGGGTAACTGCTTTTGGAAGAGCAAGCAGTGACATTCACAGGATGATTTGGGGTTGGAAGGGACATCTGGAGATCATTTAGTCCAACCCTCTGCCAAAGCAGGTCCACCCAGAGCAGGTTGTACGGGAACGTGTCCAGGTGGGGTTGGAATGTCTCCAGAGATGGAGACTCCACCACCTCTCTGGGCAGCCTGTGATACTGTGCTCAAGAAGTCAACTGGACACCTCCAACTCTTCCACCACTTCCCATCTCCGGAGCATCTATTTTCTTGAGGAGACCTGCCACTTTCTCCAGAACTTTGCAAGAGCATCTCAAAGCTTTCATCTCTCTCCTGCCACTGCTGGTCTTGTGAAGCCGATTTGGGTCCCTCCCCTGGGCTTCCTGCATCACTGTGATGACTTTGCAAACGGCACAATGTCACCGTTCTCCCTCCAGAGACAAAGCCAGCAGCCAAAATTAAAAAAATAAAAAAAAGAAAGAAAGAAATGGCAGCCCTAAGGCAGAGAAGGGGACCGTGACCAAAAGCTGAGATTATTGGACTCAAGAGACCTTCCCCTGTACTCCTCCTGGTTTTGCAGAGCTGGAGATAACTAAACGGCCTTCAAAAGCAACTTAAGAAGCCAACTGTGTTTTCTGTCTGAGTTTACCTTCCTTTTCAAGGCATAAAAAGTCCCTGAATAAATTGGGCTTCCTGGGACTGTTTTGTCTGAATGTAAAAGGATAGAAGTTTAACTATCTCCTTATGCTCCTTCCACCAGCAAGTGGAGTTCTGTCCTGAAGTCCTCAGCACTGAGAAAATCGTTGGGCTTTTCTGCAGAAAACAAGCTCAACCCTTCCCAGAGGAGATTCCACCAAACGAGGGCACAGCATTTGGGTTCTCAGTCCCCAGTTTGGCTACTGAGTGCTCCATGAGTTCACAGAATCAGAATCACAGAATCTTCTAGGTTGGAAGGGACCTTCAAGATCATCTTGTCCAACCGTCAACCCAACTGACAAAAATAGACACCCACACAACAAACAAGGAGCATCATCACTAAACCAGACCTCCCAGCACTACATCAACCCGGCTTTTGAACACCTCCAGGGATGGTGCCTCATCCACCTCCCTGGGCAGCCCATTCCAATGGCTGATGACCCTTTCAGTGAAAAATTTTTTCCTAATATCCAGCCTGAACCTCCCCTGGCGCAACTTGAGGCCATTTCCTCTTGTCCTGTCGCCTGTGACTTGAGAAAAGAGACCGACCCCCATCTCTGAGATGCTGCTGAAGGCAACTTCCAACCTGCAACCTTCTGTAGATCTACAGGCTTGGCTATGAAGGAACCATCTCCAGTGCTAATTATAGGAGGGTAAATGGGAAATGAACCATTCATCAAGAATTAGAGATAACGGATTTTCATAGACCAAGACACAGCCTGGTTCTGGGAGATCCTGGATCTCCATAAATTTAGAGCAGACAGTGGTCCCAGGACCAGGAATGTATTTTCGAAGCAAATTCCAAGTCACACATCACGTCTGCCTCCTCAATAAATGCAAAGGAATGGATAAAATTAAACATACCTCTTTCACTAACAGGTGGACCCCTTCAGGCTGATTACTCTGAATTATTTCCAAGAGTATCGGAGCAAACGTTGCGCTCAAACCGCTGATCTGAAAGAAGAAATAAAAAAGGCTGGAGGAGAGGAACACCCCATACAGAACGGCCTCGTTATATTAATGGCACAGAAAGAGAGTCCATCTCAGGATGAGCCCGTGGCAATCAACCAACTTCATCAGAGAAGCGCTCTCCGCTTCGTGTGCACACTCTCAGCACGGCCAAAACCTCTCTTTTTGGCTCATCTCTATGAATATTGTGCTTCCCTTCCCTGCTGCAGAGTCTCCTGCATCTAAAGAGACTTAAACATGACTTTTCTACCCCTTGTATCAAGTGTTCCACATAAAATAGATAAATCAATCTTCTGGCTGAAATACAGAATCCAGGAACCCCTCCTCTGCTTCTACTTTGTGAGTAACCTTTAGGAAGAACCCTAATTAGGGTTCATCAGGAAGAGTGTGAGCAGCAGGTGGAGGGAGGTCATCCTGCCCCTCTGCTCTGCCCTGGGGAGGCCCCAGCTGGAGCACTGGGACCAGTTGTGGGCTCCCCAGTTCCAGAAGGACAGGGAACTGCTGGAGAGGGGACAGCAGAGGCTACGAAGATGATGAGGGGCCTGGAGCATCTCTCTGCTGAGGAAAGGCTGAGGGACTTGGGTCTTTTTAGTCTGGAGAAGAGAAGGCTGAGGGGGGATCTGATCAACACCTCTAAATCCTTCAAGGGTGGGTGTCAGGAGGATGGGGCCAGTCTTTTTTTGGTGGTGCCCAGGGACAGGACAAGAGGAAATGGGCACAAACTTGAACAGAAGTTCCATCCTGGAGAGGCTGCCCAGAGAGGTGGTGGAGTCTCCTTCTCTGGAGACATTCCAACCCCACCTGGACACGTTCCTGTGGGACCTGCTCTGGGTGGCCCTGCTCTGGCAGGGGGTTGGAGGAGATGATCTCCAGAGGTCCCTTCCAACCCCAGATCATTCTGTGATTCTGTTAAGGGGGTTTGACAGCCCGAGACAGGACGTGCTGCACATGAGCTATCATCGAACACCAGCTCCTACCTGGACAACCCTCTGATCTGTTAAGGGGTTTTGAGAGCCCCAGATAGGATGTGCTGCACATGAGCTATCATCAAACACCAGCTCCTACCTGGACAACCCTCTGATGGGTGGTAAGGACCGCATCCAGCTGCATTTTGGATCCTCGCTCTTCCAAGAACAGCACTTCGTTGGTTTTGGTGGGCATCGCGTAGCTGCAGGAAGCACAGGTCAGTGTTTAGGACAGGGAGGAGAGACTTAACTCTACTTTACAGGAATGAATCAACCTCCAGCAGCAGAGAATGTGGAAAGAGATTAACTTTGCATGAAGGAATTAATTATGCAAACAATGTATCTTGCAAATCAAGCGCTGGCAGGAGCCGGGTGTTTTACTGGAAAGAGATAAGGGAGAAGCTTGCAGTGCTACTGCCAGCAAAAACCTGTTTCAGCTACAAACACCAGCCCCAGAAGAGAACTTTTAACTTTTTTTATAGCTGAAGGAGAGCTTTAAAGGAACAGTCCTGACTTATTTTGTAATCTGTTCATTGGGAACAGAGCTGAAAAACCACTGCTGCAACTCACCACTCCAAAGACATCATTTTCACCACTGAATTTAACAGGAGAACGATGGCTCCGATTCTCTGGTCTCCAGAGACCTCACCCTCCCCATCTCCATTTGTAACTACAGGCTACGTCCTACTGCCCATGTTTTCCCCTACAAATTTTGCCTCTTAAAGGGCAAATAGTTTCTTTCTGTACGTTGCTGAAACTCTGCACACCAAGTCCAACCTCAGAGGGCACAAGCGGGACACAAAGTACTAACACTTCAGACTGAAAATGCCATCAATAGTCTCAGGCTGCAGGATTTCTCTGGGAAGGCTTCCCAACCCATTGCTGCTGACAGAATTGTTAATTTTTAGCGTCGCTGGGTATCCTGCTCAAATTAAACACCCATAAGTCACCGACATGTCACTATTTTTCAGCACTGTTTGGTGCAAAAAACATCACAGAGAGACTACTGATCTGGGGGCACGGGGTTTCAGATCCACGGCTGACAGTTCAGCAAAGTGGATGAATTTTAAAAAAACAATTTTTGGCAAGTTTAATCAGCATGAGCAGAAAGCAGTGTTTATATTCAGAGGTACACTTAAAGATACGCATTTCAGTTCATCACCATTAAGTGGTTTTACTTCCTTATAGGAACACAGTGCTTCTTCCAGTGACTGCAGACACCAAGGAGCTTTATCACGTTCCTCTAATTAACAGCATGGTAAGACTCAGGACGTGATCATCTCCCTGGACTGGGCACTGGGGAGGCCCTACCTCAAGGGCTGGGTCCAGTTTTGGGCCCCTCACCACAAAAAAAGACCTTGAGGGGCTGGAGCGTGTCCAGAGAAGGGCAATGGAGCTGGTGAGGGGGCTGGAGCAGAAGGGGCAGGGTCTGGAGAACTTCTGAGGGAGCTGGGGGTGTTGAGCCTGGAGAAAAGGAGGCTGAGGGGAGACCTTCTGGCTCTCTCCAACTCCCTGAAAGGAGGGTGTAGCCGGGGGGGAGTCGGTCTCTTCTCCCAAGGAACAGGCCATGGGACAAGAGGAAATGGCCTCAAGTTGCTCCAGGGAGGGTTCAGATTGGATATTGGAAAAGATGTTTCCACGGAAAGGGTTATTAAGCCCTGGAATGGGCTGCCCAGGGAAGTGGTTGAGGCACCATCCCTGGAGGGATTCAAAAGATGGGTTGACATAGAGCTTAGTGACGTGGTTTAGTGATGGTTTCTTATCAGAGTTAGGTTGATGGTTGGACTTGATGATCTTAAAGGTCCCTTCCAACCCAGACAATGCTACGATTCTATGATTAAAACCAGCAAAACCATTATGAGGAGTTCACCTGCTTTGGAGGTGCAATCAAAACATCCTCCACTATTAAACTAAAGCAGCAGGTAGCTCTCCCACAAGCTTCAGGGGTTTCCCAAGCTCATTCTAGTTTGTATAATCAGTATCGCCTGCTTATTGCATAATATATGCACAGAGCCTGGATGAAACACCGTACAGAAAAAACCAGCAGCAAGAGTCAGCAATACTTAAACCCACATTCCCGGGCTCAGCACCCACAGGCTTAAGCTGCCTTCTCAAAGGAATGAAAAGTAACAACTATTTATTGTTATTTTTTTTTTCCCTTGAGATCAAGGGTCCGTGCTGGGGCCAATACTGTTTAACGTTTTTATCAATGATATAGACAGGGGGATTAAAGGCACCATCAGCAAGTTTGCGGACGATACCAAGCTGTGTGGTGTTGTCGATACACCAGAGGGATGGGATGTCATCCAAAAGGACCTGGACAGGCTGGAGAGGTGGGCCCAGGTGAACCTCATGAGGTTCAACAAGAGCAAATGCAAGGTTCTGCACCTGGGCCGGAACAATCCTCACCACCAATACAAACTGGGGGGTGAGGGATTGGAAAGCAGCCCTGAGGAAAGGGACTTGGGGGTGCTGGTGGAGGAGAAGCTGGACATGAGCAGGCAGTGGGCACTTGCAGCCCAGAAGGCCAATCCCATCCTGGGCTGCATCAAAAGATGCGTTGCCAGCAGGTCCAGAGAGGGGATTCTGCCACTTTACTCTGCTCTGGTGAGACCTCACCTGGAGTATTGTGTGCAGGTCTGGAGCCCTCAATATAAGAAGGACATGGACCTGATGGAGAGGGTCCAGAGGAGGGCCACAAGGATGATCAGGGGGATGGAGCACCTCTGCTACGAGGACAGGCTGAGGGAGCTGGGGTTGTTCAGCCTGGAGAAGAGGAGGCTCCGGGGAGACCTAATAGCAGCCTTCCAGTACCTGAAGGGAGCCTACAGGAAGGCTGGGGAGAGCCTGTTTACAAAGGCCTGGAGTGACAGGACGAGGGGCAATGGCTTCAAGCTGGAGGGGAACAGATTTAGACTGGAGATGAGGAGAGGGTTCTTCACTGGGAGGGTGGTGGAGCACTGGAACAGGTTGCCCAGGGAGGTGGTTGAGGCCCCTTCCCTGGACATATTCAAGGAGAGGCTCGACGAGGCCCTGGGCAACCTGGTCTAGTTGGGGGTGTCCCTGCTGACTGCGGGGAGGTGGGACTAGAGGACCTTTGGAGGTCCCTTCTGCCTGGACAATTCTATGATCTGTTCAGTCATTTCCTGAACAACTCCATTTCAGCCTTACTTATAGGAAAAAAGCATCCAAACAGACACAGGAAGATGACAGAAGCTTTGGATTTACATGGGAGAATCCATCAGAGAGATCAGACAGTGCCCTTGTCTGCAAAGCATCACCCTCCATGAGCCTCAGGTGGCCTAACGCAACGCGATGGTGAGGGATGACAAAGATGGAGCCGGGTTCCTCGTACCTTTCGTTCACTTTAACAGAGAGTCGGTTGCAGAGTCTGTGCACGTACTGAGCAAAATGCTCCACGAGACACATATCATAGGAAGTCATCTGGATGTTGATATCTCCATACTCGTATTCGGTCCCAGGATTTATCTCTTTCATCTGGACTTTATCCTTCTTCTTCTTTGGAGCCTATATTTTTTTTTAAAAAGAAAAAATAGAAAGCGTATCTGTTTTGAACAAAGCTGGAAATAAAAAGAAACACATTAACCCTTGCCCTGGGTAGTCTGAGGGCAGTCTGAGGGAAACTTGAGGTAGTCTCTTCTGACAAAGGTTTGCTGAGCTACGTCGAACGTATCGCAGCCCATCTGCACTCTCTTTCCCCCCACTACGAAACTGGGATGACTTTATCTCAACAGATGTTCTTGAGTTGAGCAGTTCAGTTCTTGGATGGCAGCACCACACAAGTCACACAGAAAAAAATACGTGCATACAGTGATTAATTCCTTCCAGAAGAAACCCAGGAGTAGAAAACAAACTGCTTTTTTATTTCAGTTCCTGCCTTGGAGGCAGCTGTCTAGATGAGTTATTGTTCCCTCCTTCCACAAAAATTGTCCTCTTTCCAAATTTCAGGGGATGTAAAAAGTTGAAGCGCAAATAAGATCTGCTCACAATATTCTGCGATGGTTTGAAGCTGAGGTGTTGAAATTCAGCATCAGGAAGAGATTCCTCCCTCCCCAAACTACTCATTAACTTAAATAAGAACATACCAGACGAAAGAATTTATGGAGTGTTGTGAGCAGGTACTTCACGCAACGTAACACTCTTTACCAAGAGAAGTAGCAGTAAACAATTATATTATTCCCTTTTAATGATTGATCAGCCATGGAATTGGTAATGCCATTTAAAATCAGACTGGAAAAAGATGGGTCAGCTGAAAGCAAGCACAGTAAGGGAGATCTTTTGCCTACCTCCTTCGGGAGCAGGTATTTAAACCTCCCAATCCCGTGCGTAGGACGGGCTTTGTAGTGTCTGTGGCAACTCAGGAGCGCATCACCTTAAAATCAAAGCAGAGCAAACATGTTTCCAGCTGAATGGCAGACAGACTTTCTTTTAACAGACATACACGAGTGCTTCAAGAACCCAAAATCCACGCTGGATGCAAGAATTTGTCCTCTGTTCTTTGACAGAAAACCAGCTTTAGCCAACCTCTGCCCCGTGCATCACAGCAATCCTGTTACTATTCACAGTCGGTTACAGCGAGCAACAAATAAGGGAGGAAGAGATTAAAAGTGACTCATTTCCCAGGTGAATTCTCAGGCAAATGAAAAAAAAAAAAAAAAAAAAAAAAAAAAAAAAAACTTTCAAACACACGGGGCTTCGGATCTTTTTTCATCTACTCCAACTTTTATGTGGCAAAATTGGAATGTAAGGCATTTGTTGGAGGTCTTTCAGAATTAATAGCTTCCCTCAGCTCTCTGCCAGAACACTGGGCTGTAGTTTTGTGTTAATTACTGCAGCCTTTCCTCAGCACAAATTTCTTCTATTTCATTTTTATTTAATTGGATCAAAAGAGCCTCTTGTGTGTGAAAATTAAAAGACAGAGAAGGCGTAACTGTAGTTATTCATTGGTAAATCAGTAATCTTGCTAAAGTCATATTTATAGATAATGAAGCACATCAGGACCTTTTTTAAATCTTGATTATGTGGCAATTTAGACATATGTGCATATACTGTATATATAGTTGCAAAAATAAGATACATCTAGATATATGTAAACAACAATGTATTTAAAAGTACCAGGGTTTTGGTGTACAAGGACATTTATACCAAGCCACATCTTTGTAACGATGCAGACTGATTTGTTTATGGGAAGCTTGGAAGTTGAGTTACATTTTCTATACGTAGATCAGTTGTTCTTACAAATTCAGAAAGAAAATAACAACCATATGAAAAGAATTAGTGTTCAGGCTCACTTGCACTATGGGTGGTGGGTGATGGGGGGCTCAGGGAGGAAAGAATCAGTAAGAGCATCTCTGATCTATGAAAGTGAAGGACAGAAACTGAGGTAAAAAGACATGCAAGATGTTCTTGAGATTCATTCAACAGTACCAAATGGCTACTCTTCATTCAGTGACTTTCAGATGTAGTTGCTTTCCATTTCCAGTCGACTGTACTCCTCTTCTTGCAAGACTCCTTAGCATGCGAAGGTACCTTGGTACCTTTCCTCTGCTTGCTGGCGTACTTCTCTCCATGCCTGTTATGACACATGATGCTGGAGGGCCTTGGGCTGTAGCAACGTAAGAAACACTTATATAGGCCAGGTTACACAGCAAGTTCTCCAGGCAATGGCTTTAACTTTTTATTCTGTAAGATACAAAGTAGAACTCTAAGGAATTTTACAGATTGGAAAGAGTGTTTAAATTGCTAATGGATCAAATGAGAGAATCAAGGACATGATCGGCAAACAAAAAAGACCAAGCACACTTAGTACAAGGTAGTAATGAGAATTTTCATGCTTGCAGTGGTCTAAGAGAAGGCACGCTTAGGTGGAAAATATCTTCTAGGTGGAAGGTGTAATAACCAATATTCTGTTGTAACTCCTGGAGAAGACTGTGTACATCATTTATAACTACAGCTACGTAAACAGAAAGTATATTTGTTGATTTAGCTTTTCAGGTGTCACCAGTTTTATTTCATCAGCTCTAATTTCAAAATGCATGCTTCAAGACACTTCTCAGCAGGCTAGACAATTTGATATCAAGGAAATTAAGCAGTGGGATGAATACTGAAGAGAAGGTGATTCGAGTAAAGACTCTTACAAAACTGTGATCATATATTATAGCTATGTCTTAGGTGCCTAAGGGAACAGTTCTTCAGAGAAAGAACTGTCACTTTAAGTCACTTTAATTGGACAGGACTAATGAAAGTGGAGGGGCATACAAGACTATGTAACAGGATGTTGATCTCCAGCATGTTGCTATATCTACCTTTCTCTCTAATTTCTTTCGTTTTCCTATTTATACCATACTATGCCAGCCTTTTGCCCACTTCCAACATGCTATTTAAGACCAAAACAAACTCAGATGTGCAAAGGCAGCCCATGCTACTCGGTGTTTTTAGACTCTGGTACAGACTGTTGGGAGATGGTTTGAGAGGGCTGCTATAATGGAGGAAGAACTCATGGATAATTCTAGCTCTAGGCAATCCTGCTTCAGCAGGGGAGTTGGACTAGATGATCTCTATGGTCCCTTCCAACTCTAGAAATTCAGTGAAATTCAGTGAAATTCAGTGAAATTTGACCCCAGCTCAATCCATCTCAAATCCAGCACTGAGCGTGTGTCATGGCTGCTCTTGTATTGCCCACAGAGTGCATATGGCAAAATGCAGCACCCCTGCCCGCTTTGATTGGAAAATGAAATTTCAGCTTAGCTGGCCCTGCCAGAAAATTATGATCTGTGCTTTGTGGTATGGTAGTTAGATTGATTTA